TAGTGGGTCTGAAGACTCTCTGGCTCCTATCCCTTCCTGACAATAGGAAACCAAAGTGAGAGGGGCTGGGAAAGGATTGTCATCTGACCAGCAGGAGAATGAGTATGCAGGGGCATGGTAGGATCAGAAGAAGTGGTAGGAGAGAGCCACAGCAGGTGGGACGGAACTGTGTTGGAGAGCAGTGGTAGGGTGAAGAGTGATATCTGGACCATACTCAAGTGCCCACTACCACACAAAGCAGGCTGCCCGAGTACTTGAAGCCCTGCCTTTTTTCAAGGGGATATGTCTTTGTGACAGGGTTGGGCTAGATGGCTACAGGAGAGTGATCCTATTGGAAGCCCGCCCACTACTAAAGGACCTCCCCCACAGCCTAAGGGTTACCAAGCCACAGGACCGGGATACCAAGCGAGTACGGGGGACAACTAAAGATAAAACAGGGACAGGAGGGAGGTCATAGGGCTAAACGAAGGGAACCTGATGGGGACACCGAGCAGAGAACCCCAGACAGCCCCCATTGCTCCTCGAAGATGTCAAGGGAGCCAGTGGACATTGCCCAGAGGAACTCTGTCCGGATGCATGAGCGGACGGAAGATCGGAAATAGGCCCCACAGTCACAGGAGACCCCATCGGCCAACCTCCTCTCCCGGCCAGAGTAGAGGGTGGGCCCAGGTTCTCCCCATCCCCTTCCCCTTCCCCCCTATTGGATATAAGAGGAGTTGACTTGGACTGTGGGTCCCACCGGAAGGGTAGGTCCCTGGCCTGTCCCCTGACCCACTAGGTGGATCAGCAGAGACTGCAGGGTTTGTTCTCCTTCTTTTTCCCCATGCTGGCCAGTGATGAGATTAGCTGCATTTGATCTACTCTGCTAAGCATGTAATTACGTTTACTATAGAGAGTATATTTTCAATAACTCTAAAAACCACAGTATCAAAAGGGAAGAATGATGCTTTCTTCAGCTAATGCTAAAACTTTTTAATTAAAATTCTTCTGACTTTAAAGCCTTTATATCTCACATTTAACAGGATGTTCCACAGCTGTGACCAAGGTAACTATTGGCTCCCATACTTATCTAGGCTGCCTATTTATTAAAAGGAAGCCAATTCATTTGTGAGTAACCAGGTCAAGAATACAGAAAGAAAGCCATTGGCCTAAGTGGGTGTGGTTGTCTCTGTTGTGGCAGAGTACTCACCTAGAAAGGCATGGAGCCCTGGGTTCTATGCTCCCTGTTGATCTCTTTCCATACCTTGATGTATCATCAGTCACCTTTCTCCCCTTGTCTAGAGACAGATGTCCTGTCCACTTCCAGTTGCGCATGTTTGCCTAGAAAATTTCACACAAGTAAGTAGGGAGAGCAAATTGGATGTGGATGATTTTCTGAGGCTTTACCAATGAAGTAAAGTTGTCCTAAAGTTGTCTCATTCTGTGGAATTAGAATTTCTTCATCAGATATCATGTGCAAAGTCACCTGTCTCTAAAGTAAATGACTTTTATCACTCATTGGATGATCAAAGATATTCCTATATTATGAACAATGATTTGGCAATAGAAAGGTTGAACCTAATATGTCAGTGCTGATGCTTTTTGCATTAGTTTACCTAGTTACCTTTCTTTTATCTTTGTTTATTGAGAGGTGGCGGGGAGAAGCAGCACATGTGCCTATATTATTTTTTCACATATTTCCTTGAAAATCCCTCATCATTTCTCTCTCATTTTAATTTTGTGGCAAAGCATATAGTCCATGAGCTTGCCTTTTCCCTTAGAGTTAGCAAAGTTACTGTGTGAATTCAGAGCCATCATCGGGGACATCTGTCTTGGGCCTGGTGGGCCATTCAGTTTCCCTGGCTGTCAGTTAGCTGGGACAGAAACCATCCCTCCATGCTTGAAGTGGGACATCAGTAAACCCCATCACCTCCAATATCATTACCCAATGCCCGGTTTTCATTGAGCTGGGCAGTCAGACTCAATCCCATCACAGAGAACATGGTTGGACAGCTGCAGAATGCACTAAAAAGTTATCTTTGAAGGTCAGAGTGGCTTCAGAATTTGTGTTGCTCAGGTGGGCTATGGAGAATCATCAGGCAGGTGTGATGAGGGCTAGGAATGTTAATGAACCCTTTTTTAAATGTTGGAAACTCATGTGTCAGGTTTTCCCAGTGCGTATTTGTTCCTCTCTCTCTCTCTCTCTCTCTCTCTCTCTATATATATATATATATATAGAATTTGTTTTACACTAGCATACACATGACAACTTATTTTTCTCTAAATGTTCTAAATGCAAATTTCTCTGTATTGCAGAAGGAAACTGGAGATTTCTCAAAAGGCTGCAGAAGAAGAAGAAAGATACCGTAAAGAAATTGAACAGTAAGTAATCATTTTCCTCCTGTGCTATATATTTTGCATAATACACATGTAAAGAGAAATTAAATACTAGAGTTTGTTAAAAAAAAATTGTCCATGTTTTTTCCCAGCAGAACATGGCAATTTTGTCAAAATGGAATTTTTCACAAGAAATGTCTGTTTTCAATGAAAAAATTGGGGTTCAATGAAAATTGAATTTTTTCAAGTTTGAGTGACCAAAAACTGAAAAAAATTGTATAGTCAAGTGAAAAAGTTCAGTAAAACTTCATATTTTTGCCCAAGCATCTCAAATTTTTCAGTTTTCAACAAAATCTACAAAATCTTCATAGAAAATTTTTGATGAAAAGAAAACAGTTTTCCATTTTCATCAAGGAATAAATGGGCAAGGAAAAAAAAGATCAACCTTTCCTTACCTGCTCTACTATATACATTTCATATCTGAATGAAATTTATCTTCAGGACTGTGAAGGTGCTGTTTTAAAGCAGCTTATGATAATTCCAAACGTAGGGCATACGAAAATGTTTTTTCTGAGTGACATATGCTAGAAATCTCTGCCAATTCTACAACGTCCTGGTGATTTCTCAAAATTGTAGATGATAATTTCCTAACTCAAAGAAGTGTTGCATTCAACATAGGGGAATTCTCTATTAGACCTCACCTTGATAGATAAAGAGGAATTGATCGCAGCACTTAAACGTAGTTTGTAAGGTCCAGTGACCATAACTTGATTATATTTGTTGTATGCAAACAATTAAGTCCAAAGCAGTGACATTATGTACTGGGTTCTTTATAAGGGCCTGTTTTATAAAGCTGAAAATAACTGTGAGCCACAGCAGATGGGAGAAAAAACTTTAACACAAAAATGTTAATGATCATTCGGAACTGTTTTAGAACATTTTATTAGATGCCCCAAAAGCCACAGTTGAGAGTTAAGGTTACCCGGGTTAGAGGGGTAGTTGAAAGAAGCAATAAAAATAAAAAGATAATGTATAACACATGGGTGGGGGAGAAAGGGAAAGATGATGATATATATAAGTCAGAAGCTAGAAATTGTAGAAAATTGGTAAGGGAATCAAAAGAACTCAAAGAAAAATCCATGGCCAGCAGAGTTAAGGACAATAAGGAAGAGTCTTTATGATAACAAGAACAAAAGAAATCCTAAGTATGATGTTAACGTATTACTAGATGTAAATGGCAGAATTGTCAATAATAATGCAAAAAAGGCACAAATGTTCAATACATTTCTGGTTTGTACATTGAAAAAAGCAAGGTGATGATGTATTCATATCATGGGAGGTGGCGGTGGAGGACAAAATAGTTTCCATTTTTAAAGTGACTAAGAAGGATGTTAAACAGCAGCTACTAAAACATGTCTGGATAACTTGTATCCAAGACTTTTAAAAGAGCTGGTCAAGGGACTCTCTGGACTGTTGACTTTTATTAAATCTTGAAGCAGTGGGGAAGTTCCAGAGGTCTTGAAGAAATCTAATGTTGTGCCATTATATAATAAAAGGCTAAATAGGCTGAGCCAAGTAACTATAGTCCTGTCAACTTGACTTCCATCCAATGCAAAACAATAGAGTGGCTGATACAGGACTTGATTCATACACAATTAAAGGAAGGTAATATAACTAATGCCAACACTGATTTGTGAAAAATATCTTGTTAAATTAACTCTCACTTTTTGAAGAGATTGCAAATTTGGCTCGCAAAGGTGACAGTGTTAAGAGTTTAAGAATAGCCATACTGGGTCAGACCAAAGGTCCATCCAGCCCAGTATCCTGTCTGCCGACAGTGACCAATGCCAGGTGCCCCAGAGGGAGTGAACCTAACAGGTAATGATCAAGTGATCTCTCTCCTGCCATTCATCTCCACTCTCTGACAAACGGAGGCTAGGGACACCATTCCTTACCCATCCTGGCTAATAGCGATTAATGGACTTAACCTCCATGAATTTATCTAGTTCTCTTTTAAACCCTGTTATAGTCCTAGCCTTCACAACCCCCTCAGGCAAGGAGTTCCACAGGTTGACTGTGCGCTGTGTGAAGAAGAACTTCCTTTTATTTGTTTTAAACCTGCTGCCCATTCATTTCATTTGGTGGCCTGTAGTTCTTATATTATGGGAACAAATAAATAACTTTTCTTTATTCATTTTCTCCACACCACTCATGATTTTATATACCTCTATCATATCCGCCCTTAGTCTCCTCGTTCCCAAGCTGAAGAGTCCTAGCCTCTTTAATCTCTCCTCATATGGGACCCGTTCCAAACCCCTAATCATTTTAGTTGCCCTTCTCTGAACCTTTTCTAGTGCCAGTATATCTTTTTTGAGATGAGGAGACCACATCTGTACGCAGTATTCAAGATGTGGGCGTACCATGGATTTATATAAAGGCAATAAGATATTCTCCGTCTTATTCTCTATCCCCTTTTTAATGATTCCTAACATCCTGTTTGCTTTTTTGACTGCCGCTGCACACTGCGTGGACGTCTTTAGAGAACTATACACGATGACTCCAAGATCTCTTTCCTGATTAGTTGTAGCTAAATTAGCCCTCATCATATTGTATGTATAGCTGGAGTTATTTTTTCCAATGTGCATTACTTTACATTTATCCACATTAAATTTAATGGAATATAGTTAGACTTCTGTAAAGCATTTGACTTGATACCACATGAAAGTTTGATTAGGAAACTACAATGATATAAAATCAACATGGAACATATTAGATTAATTAAAAACTGCCTCACTGAGAGGTCTGAAAATATAATTGTAAATAGGGAATCATCGAGCTGGTGTGTTTCTAGCAAGGCCCTACCGGGGTCAGTTCTTGGCCCTATGCTATTTAACATTTTGTATCAGTGACCTGGAAGAAAACATAAAGTCATTGCTAGTAAAGTTTGTAGATGACACAAAGATTGGGAGAGTAGTAAATAATAAGAGAACAGGTCACTGAGTGATCTGGAACACTTGGTAAACTGAGCACAATCAAAATATATGAGAATCAATACAACCAAAGGTAAGGTTGTACGTCTAGGAACAAAGAACATAGGTCAGCCATACAGCATGGGAAACTCTATTCTGGAAAACAGTGACTGAAAAAGACTTGGGGGCCCTAGGGATAATGAGATGAATATGAGCTTGCAGCGCAACGCTGTGGCTAAAAGGGCTAATGCAATCCTTGGATCTAAACACGGGGGGCTTTCAGTAGGAGTAGGGAAATTACCTATGTATTTGGCACTGGTACAACTGTTAGTGGTATACTGTGTCTAGCTCTGGTATCTGCACTTCAAGAAGGATACTGAAAAATTGGAGATGTTTCAGAGAAGAGCCATGAGAATGATTAAAGGAAGAGAAAATATGCCTTATAATGAGACACTCGAGCTCAACCTATTTAGATTATCAAAAGGGTAAGGGGTGATTCTGATCAGTCTAAAGTAACTACATAGCAAACAAAAATTTGATGATAGAGAGCTCATTGTTCTAGCAGACAAAAATATAACTAGATTAAGTGACTGGAATTTGAATCTAGGCACATTCAGACTAGAAATAAGATGCAAATTTATAACAGTGAAGGTAATTAATCATTGGAGCAACATACCAAGGACTGTGGATGGATCCTTCATCACTGGATATTTGTAAATCAAGAGCGGAGGCTTTTCTAAAAGAGTTGATCTACTTATAACCACAGCTATTGGACTTAAACCAAGAATTAATTCAAGGAAGTCCTGTGGTTTGCATTATGCAAGAGGTTAGACTAGATGATCATAATGGTCCCTTCTGGCCTTAAAATCTATGAAGGCTTTCTGGCAGCCCATCCATCAACAGTACCAAAAAGCAAGTTGGACGCAACTATCAATGTAATTTAAATATTGCTGTACATTTAGAACTGGAGGGGGAAAAACCAACCAATCACTATGTGGTTCGCTGTTTTAATGTACATTATCACTTTCTCTTCTGAACAATTTTGACAAATTATATGATAGTATGAAATTGGAAAATTAGTGCTGGAGATTTCATATTCTATAATTGTTCTGATGCAGCTTTCTGTAACTGTAATTGACTCTGAAATATTCAGACATGCCTCTCCTGTCACATTAAACAGGTTTCCACCTGTGTCATTTCATTTGACTGCTTTTGATCTATCTATATTAGAAGCTGAAATCCTGCACAACAGACAGGGCATGCACAGGGCTCTCTGAATCAGTGATGGCATGTTGGATGCGGAACCGAGTATATTTCCCCAGCTGCCACGACGGCCATCGGGGACCAGAGCAGTTTCTGGCAACCCCAGGACTGGGGTACAAAAATGCACATACATATACCAGCCATCCCCGCACTGGATCTGTGTCAGCACAGGGATGACTTCCGTCTACAATGTTTTCCCATTCTCATACTGTATTGAACAAATTGCTGCAATAACAATGAAGGATGCTACACAAGCAAACGAAGAATTCCTTTTCCAAAGCCAGCTTTTCTGCCTCACAATCGTGATGAATGCCTTTGGTATCTGCAGACTTCATCTGAACTTCAAAACCATTGCACCTTTGTTCCCACACATCTCTCTTCCTATTAACAGTCTGTCTTGAAGTCTGCTAATAGTGTCAAGCATTTCTATAAACAGCTTTTATAGTTTCAAAGTGCTGTACAATACAAAAGTTAACTAATTAAGCCTCAACACCTTTCCAAGATAGGAGAGTATTATAATCCCTATTTTAAATATGAGAAGAGAGAGAAGATAAATGACTTGTCTCAGACTGTGTAGCAAGTCAGAGGTAGAATAGGTTTTACTACACAGGACTTCCTGACTACCAGCTTCAGGCTCAATCCATTAGAACATGCTCCTTTCCTGTGTTAATAGCTTGAGTAGCCTTTCACTCCCCTTTGAAAGACTGAAGACCCTTTTCCCTGAAACTCTTTCCTTAAAATTGCTGCAGTTATCAGGTTCTGCTGCCTAAATTATTGTGAAGCTGATGTATCGCCATACCTGAAGTTCTTTAAGTAACCTCAGTAGCTTTATTTCAGCACTTCACGAATGCAACATCAGCAAGTGGAGTTTGCAGCTTACAAGCTCTGCTATCATTAGTGTTCATGCACATGACAGGTAACATTTTCAAAAGCACCTAAGTGACTTATGGTACGTCTATGCAGCATTTTGGAGAGAGCCTCCCAGCCCAGGTCAACAGACTGGGGCTATCCGGGCTTGCACAAAATAGCTGTATAGACAACGCTCTGAAGTTTCAACTCATACTGGAGCTCAGGCTCTGAACTTATGCTCCTAAGTCACCTGGGTGCTTTAGAGCATGTTACCCACAATAACTATTTCAGGCCACGTGGTTGGTTTCAATGAAGAGTTTCAAAGGCTTCAGCAAGCAGTGCCACCAATACTCTCACTTCAGTGGGGTGGTACTTTGAAAATCTCTTATCAATCCTTGTGTTCTGAACGTGAATACAAGTCTTTGCCTTAGCATCTCTCTCTGTAGCCTGCAGCCTTTCCTGGCAGAGCAAACTCTATTTAACACAAATCTGTAACTGTACAGAATGAGTTATGCCCTGTAGGTTGCAATTTCTTTACAGGAACTAGGAAGATGGACCTTCCAAGGAAACTGTTGGCTTTGTGTCATATGTTAGTAGTAGTATTTTATGAATCACGCTTCTGGCCCTCTTGGCATATTGTTTTAATATTAAAGTCTACTCTACTAGCAATTACATTAGCCAGAACATGCAGGGCAACCTCTAAGTTATTGGTCTTGACTCCGTTGCTACCAAATAATTTAATTACTAGACTAACCTCCTCTGATGTATATTCAGTAGAGTCCTCTGCCTTTGTGTGGGGCTTTTTTAAATCTTTTTTTTTTTTTAGTCTTTTAACTAACTCCAAACATTGTTTATTTGTCATGTAATGCAAATAGCAGCAACAGCAGTGGCAATATGAGATTCAAATGCAAAGTCCATAAATTAGGGTTATCCTGTGGATCTGTGACACTGGAGGACTTTGCTACCATAAACCAGTGAATTACACTGTGACATGCCACAGTTGAAAATATATATTTTACGTCACTGAGAGGTGTGCTCTATGGTACAAAATTCAGCAACAGTAGAAATGCTGCATTATATTCGTGGATTGTGTGTCACTTGTGATTGCAGCAATCTTTAACAAGTTATGAGAAATAGGAGGAAACATTATATACAGTTATTTCTTGTTCACACATTTTTATTTTACTATCTATTTTTATTTATTAGCACAATGCCTAAGAGTGTGCTTGGCATGTTGCCGTACAGGTAAAACATAATCTCCATTTCAGTGGTTTTACAATCTGATTGCAGATGTGACCCAAGACGGCAGAGCTGATAAAACAGTAGAAAGTGGGAGGATGGAAGGAGTTAAATCAAGAGGATTAGAGGGTTACTCAGCTAAAGCTCTGGACAGCATGGTGGAGCAAAAATTGTTTTCAGAAATATAAGGAAAGTGGAATCCTTATGATTCATTTCTTGTAATTGCCATGGAGGATGTGGCTCCTGAGGAAGGATATGTCAGATATATTGTACAGACTCTGCAGTTTCAGTCAAACATTGTTTATTTGTCACGTAATGCTAATATCAGCAATAGTAGGGGCTATACTGTGTTAAATTCTCCATCATCAATCTAGATGTTTTTGCCTCTAGGCACCGAATACATGGCTAGGTTGGTTCTGCCCCTAGTTCAGGTCAGTAAGCAGCCTCCCACACACACCTGATGTAAATCCCCATTTAGCTCTCCAATCGCCATTTTACTGCTATAGCTCATGCACTTTTGTATTGAGCTGGATTTCCATTTTCGGAAGAATATCGGCTTGCCATGAATAACCCCTCAAACCTTGACATTTAACCATATTGTGTTCCTGTTTCCTTTTATTGTTTAGGTTTTTTGTAGGAAGAGTAGGGGGATGGTTATGTGTACACCAGCTTGGACTTTTGTTGTTGTATGGATTAAAACATAAAATAAGTTTATTAACTACAAAAGGATAGATTATAAGTGATAGCAAACAGATCAAAGCAGATAACCTAGCAAATAAACAAAACCGCAAACTGAGCTTAACATAGTAGATAGGTAGGATATGAATTAGCAGATTCTCACCTTGAGTGATAAACAGGCTGGCAGATTCTTAAGGCAAAAGCTGCCTTGGCTCTGTAGCTTGGGTTGCCCCGGTTTTCATACACAGGCTAGAAATTCCTTTAGCCTGGGACCATCCATTCCCTCCAGTTCAGTCTTTATTCCTCAGGTGTTTCCAGGTGTGTTGTTGTACGGAGAGTGAGGTCCCATCATGATGTAATTTCTCCCTTTTATATCTTCTTCCCACTTGTTGGAAAGCTCTTTTGCTGTGACCTGGGTCAAACAGTTCCCATTGTGTAGTGCTATCTCTGAGAGGTTTCTATTGTACACAGTTCCTGGGGTAATCCTTGTGCTTGTGTGCATTTCCCCAATAAGCCATTAACATTGTTTGGCCTTTTTACTGTTGTACCTGAAAGGCTGCTTGTGGGTGTTTTCAACCTCACAACATGTTTCAGTAACACATATGTAGCCAAACTTCATAACTTCGCATACAACGATAGCACACACAATCCAACGAGATATTAACGTCTAGCAGAGCAAGACTTTTAGAATGATACCTCACAAGGCATTCTTTATACAAAATATATCCTAATTACATGGCAGTGGTGAATATTGTGATGCCAGGGTGTCATACATGGATTCTTTTAAACTAGTTTCTTTATTTTTCTGAACTCTCCCTTTCTAGAGTGTCACCGTGTTCGTTTTTGTTAGAAGTACTTCTCCAGACACGATGATTTAATTATACAGTGGTGTCACTGTTTAGTTGTCTCAGCTATAGTTATTTCTTGAACCAACTCCTGTCAGGGTACAGCTACTTTTTTTGTGTGCTCTAGCTATGCCAAGAAGCAATCATTTAAATGGAAATAAATCATGTAGAAATAAGACACACATTTTTAACAGTGGGGACAGGTAAATATTGGAATAACTTACTTGGGGATGTAATGGAATCTCTGTCACTTGAAGTCTTTAAGTCACAACAGGTTGTCTTTCCAAAAGATATGCTATAGCTCAGACAGAAGTTATGGCCTCGATGTAGAAATTATTTGGTGAGGTAGGTTCCCTGTTCTGGTTTTTTCAGGCAGACTAGATGATCATCATAATCCCTTCTGGTCTTAAAAATCATTGATTCTATAAGGTGCTCAGAATTGGCTTCTCCAAGCCTTACCCCAGTGTGCAATTCGACCAGTTTATACGTGGGTCTGTCATGCTTGTATAAAGGCAGTGACTTGCATTTTGCATGAGTTACCTCCGTATCTCATTAGTATTGAAACACAAAAAAGTATATATTATCATTTAGAAAACAAACAAGAAGTGTTTGCTTATTATTTCAGTGTGTTTTCTGTTCAGTTGAATATATTAGTTGGACCAGAAGTGAAATAGCAGCCATTTCTATATGTTTAAAATGTGGGGTTTTAGCTGAGTTGGAAGGAAATGGTTTGTATTTCAAATTAAGAAAAATACATAATATGTAGTTTACAAAGTTATATTTTTAAATGAGAATTTCAAGAAATACTTTTCTTCTATATGTATGTAGGATAACAGCAGAAGAAGAGAAATTTAAAAAGGAATGGGAAGAAGATTGGAGGCCTAAAGAGCCACCTAAGCCTGTAAAAACTGTAACTGCAGACGTACATCCAGCCCCTACTCCTAAACACAGAAGTAAGTGACTGCTTCCATCCTAGTCAGTGGGCGAAACAGTTGTGTTTGAGGAACAATATTATGACTCAACAATGGTCATGGAGATGGAGTGTTTTCACCAGTTCAAATCTAACCTATGTCAGCCATGACTAAAACTTAACACCTGATGGCTGTTTGGAGGTCTATGAGAGATGAGTTTAGTTGTCTCCATCCAGTTCCCATTTAATAGACCTCTGTCACAAAACTCACTGCCACACTAACTGTCAGCCGTGTGCACAGTCTCATCCAAGAAATGTGTTGACATGGAGACTGAACTTCCTACCATGATGATAAGCCCTCTAGGTCAGGGTTGAGCTGCATCGTGGGGGGGTGTATTTTGCTGTTGTCCAGGCTGTTTCTATTCAGGGAACCTCAGTCTCCAGAGATGTCAACCTGGCACATTTCATGTGCACTAAAAGCAAGATTTTCTTTGAGCTGTTCTCAATCAGAGTTGCTATGTGCTCACTCTGAACACTTTTGAAAGTCTAGCCACTTCATTTAGGTGCCTAAAAAAAAACTCAGCTCCCATTTGAAAATCTACCCAAAATTCTTATATACCATGTGTGTGTATATGTGTGTGTGAATGACTTAGATGGAAATATGTTGCATTCATATGTTGAGCATTGGCCTGCTAAACCCAGGGTTGTGAGTTCAATCCTTGAGGGGGCCACGTAGGGATCTGGGGCAAAATCAGTACTTGGTCCTGCTAGTGAAGGCAGGGGGCTGGACTCAATGACCTTTCAAGGTCCCTTCCAGTTCTAGGAGATGGGATATCTCCATTTATAAAAATAAAAAAAAGCTCATCTGAGCTTTACCAACTGAAACATGTGGATCACCGTGGTCCAAGTCCACGTGAAGTATCTGGTTTGTGTAAACCACTGCCAACCCTCCCCCTCTAGGACCCTAGACTCCTTACTTTTTAAGTCTTTGGAGGATGTGGGGATGGCTGCCTGGTGTCCTGTAAACTCCTTCCTGCTACTTATCTTTGAGGAGAGAGTGGTTATTCATCTTCCAGCACCTTCAGGTGATGCCTGGTAGGAAGATAATAAATGAACACCTTGTCCCCATCCAGGCCCACTGTGAGGCTGCTTGCCTCCTGACACCTGTCTGCTGACTCTGACATGGTTCCCAGCCCAGCAGAGCACCATTTGCAGAGTCCTGGGAAAGGGCATACTGCCTACTTATTGTACATAGAGCACTGAGTTAGTTATGGAGCTTTGTTCAGCTTCAGTGATGCAAACCTCCCAAGACTTTACCTCCAAACTGAAAGGTCACACAAGTTGGTTGTACATGTATGGGACGATAACTTGGTATCATTAATGTGCATGACATCCCTGGTAACTACCAATTCTTCCACATGGATTATACTGCACATTTTATATCTAGGTGAGGATATAATGTGGCTAATTGGAGATGTCATAGCAGTCTAAACACATTGCCACAGTTTGCATCTATAAGATTGTACTACACTTTCTAATTCTTACAGCCTCTAGTCTTCAATTTGTGACTGTCAGTTTAGCAGCGTGTTAGGGTAATAAGGGAAATTCAATATTACTCATAGCTTCCTGTTTCTCTAAGGTGATCAGATAAGGACTCCTACAAAGAGTGGCAAAAATAATGTGAGTTGACAGATTCGTGCCAGTGATATGTTAAGGCTATCCCTCAAAACTTCTTTAACACCAGTCTGCAGAGCACTTCCAGGTGGTTCACAGTTTCCATCTTGACCTGAATAGAAAGGGAATGCCAACTCACCAGCAGCACCCTCATCCCTCCCTGCCCAGACCTGGCAGAGCCCCCTCCGTGCATATGAGCTCTGTGCTAGGGGACCGGGAGAGGGAGGAGACTGAGTGAGTCAGGGCAGGACCAAAGGAATACATATTCTTTCCACCCCTACCTCCAGTCCACCCTTGTAGACCTTACTTGGGGCCGCATTATCTTTTCTGCATAAGGAACGCCAGGATATGCCACCAAGGACCAAAGCTGATGCATGGGCCCCAATCCTTGCAGATTCCTAGGGGCCTGCTCTGTTTGAGGATGAGCCCTGGACCATTTTCTGCAGGAGGAGATAAGCTCCATTCACCTTATGGGAATGTTGTGAGCATAAATTCTCCCCCTGCTGCTTTCCACATGGGATTGTGAAGGGGTCGGCTCTCCACAAGTGCGCATCCTTGTGTCTGGGAGTTAGCTTTCATACCATCTGGTGCCTCTTCCATCAGTTGCTCATGCCGTGGCCCCTCTCTCTTTGAGGGGGAGGGATAGCTCAGTGGTTTGAGCATTGGCCTGCTAAACCTGGGGTTGTGCGTTCAATCCTTGAGGGGGCCACTTAGGGGATCTGGGGCAAAATCAGTACTTGGTCCTGCTAGTGAAGGCAGAGGACTTTTCAGGATGACTTTTTGGGATCTCTTCCAGTTCTATGAGATAAGTATATCTCCATATATTTATTTTATTTATTTTGAGACTTGGGTGCTTCCTCTTTGAGTTGGCCCTCTGGCCAGGTCACTATATGGTCTCCCTCCTTTCAGGTTAACAAAGTCCCACTGGACCAACTGTCCACATGCTGTCTTAGGTAGTCTTCTATTCCAAGTCTATCTCCAGTGCCACTTTCCCAGTGGCTGGTAGGGGAACCTGAGCCCACCCATTACTCCAAATTCCAGCCCAGGGATCCTGTGACTAGCAACCTCAGTCTGCCCAATCTGACCTGTTGCTTTTTCCCTGGACTCCTTCCTGCCACACCTCTCTCTTGCCTGTCTCTGGGTTTACCACCAGAGCTTCCATCACTCCCTATAGCTGCTTCATCCCTCTAGGCCACTTGTAAGACTCTCAAGTCCAGGGCAGGAGCCCAGGACTTGATCTCCTCCTTGTGCCTGGCCAATTCCCTTTCCCTCTAGGGAGTGACTATAGACCCTTTCCCATGCTCACTTCCTGGCTTTATACTCCCCTTGGATTTCCTCTTCCCAGATGGGCTTCATCTGCCAGGCGGAACGTATAAGGTTAAGGGCCCCTCTTGGCCCACAATAACCCACTCAGGGCTAGTGTGGGGTGGACATCTCATCACAAGGATGGGTGATCTGGTCCCTAATTAGATTATATTTAACAGCTTACTCCTCTGTTGTTACTTAAGGCATTTCAATGTAATTAAGAATGTGGGTCTTTAATATCCTACGGAAACCAAAATGCGGTGAATTCTAGGAGTGAAAAAGAAATACCAGCCATGTCAACTAAAGCCTGAGAGCCCTGAAAACTCACTGCCACACTAGGACACTTCAAAAATGCATGTGCCTTCACTGAACCTGCAAAAGCTCACGTTTGCATGTTGATAGGTATTTGTGCATGCAAATAGGCTAACAATGATTACTATTTCAGAGTAGCAGCCGTGTTAGTCTGTATCCGCAAAAAGAACAGGAGTACTTGTGGCACCTTAGAGACTAACAAATTTGTTAGTCTCTAAGGTGCCACAAGTACTCCTGTTCTTTTAATGATTACTATGGAGAGGCAATGTGGGCTAATGGGTAGAACACTGGACTGGGAATCTATTCCCAGCTCTGCCACTGGCCAGCTGGGGTGACCTTGGCCAAGTCATCGCACCTCTGTGCCTCAGTTTCCCTTTCTTTAAAATGGAGATAATGATATTGATCTCCTTGTGTAAAGTGTTTTGAGATGAAAAGCACTATATAAGAGCTAGGGATTAGTACTATTATTTATTGTTATTACTGTTTTGCATTTGCAAATATGGGTCTTTTGTGTCTAATGCATGATCATTCTTGGGAGCACACTCATGTCCTGTGTTTAAACATTTGTCCCCTAAATAAATCAAGGGATCTAGTGGCTACTGTGACACACTTGTGCAAATATGCAGCACAGGCTCTAGCAAATATTTCTTTCTTTAGAAATTGTAACAAAACTCTGAAAAATGCCCCAGTCTCCTGTACAATCTTGTAAATCACACTGTAAAGATCCAATACCTTTTAACTGCAGCAATAAACCTCTGAGCAAGCGGATCTTTTTTTAAAAAACCTACAATATTTCTACTCTGCTTGACAAATCAAATGCAGATCAGTTTGAAATTTTCAACTTTGTGAAATACAGATATATTCAGGGATGGTTGAATTTCTCCAACAGTTGTAGTAAATATCTGTTCTTAGCAAATTATTCCCTTCAGTTTTTATACTTTACTGAAACCTGTTCTGAGTTTTATAGAAAGCGTGACTTAAATTTTCATTCTTCACATGAAGAATGACTTTTGGAACTGAGGGTTTTGACTGATCTGCTAACTGTTTGCTGTTGGCATTCTGATGATTTTGCAAGTGGTATGAAAAATGAGACTGAAAAATGAGGATTGAGCTTAGGCCCTTCTATGCTAAGGCCCTGATAAAGCAAAGCACTTAAGAATCTGCTTAACTTTAAGCATGTGAGCAGATCTACTTAGTCCTCAGTGGGACCACTCACATGGTTATAAGTGTGTACTGATTTGGGGCCTAAGACCTTTGTCTGGCACATAAAGCAAATACTTTAATATCTTATGTGGACCAGAAACTAGAAGGAGACAAACACTCACATCTCCTACTGTGGATTCCATAAGGCTTGGACACACGTGTTCTTCGCTTTTCAGTTGTCTAATCCGTTCACACTGTGGTGTCCTTCCCCCCCCCCCCCCACCTTTTCTGCTCCCATTTCATCCTTTCCCCCTCTCTTATTCCTCACTCCTCCTTTTCCCTCCCCAGAAAATAATTTGTGCAAATGTTGTAGCCCTTACTAAGACAAAACTCCCTTGAAGTCAGAGGGCATTTTGCCTCAGTAGGATTTATCACAGGGAGCGGATCTGTTCAGTAAGAAACTGCTGTTTGTGCACTCTAACTTTTCATAGAAGTTCCCATTAGCTGTAAGCCTGGCTGCTGGACTGAGCTTTTCAAAGGCAATTAGGATGGTTTGAAGCTTAACTTCTAGATAAAAGGCTAAATCAGGAACTGGTTAAACTAAAAAAGCCCAGATGCTTTGAAGCACTATTATGCACAACAGGAAGTAGGAAAGTAGTACTGGTAAGACACTAGACTGGAGCTCAGGCAAATCTAGGTTCAATTCCTGACTCTGCCCCAGTATTCCTGCATGATCTTGTGCAAGTTGCTTAATCTTTCTGTGCCTCAGTTTCCCAGTCATAAAACGAAGGTGATGATATTTCCTTTCTCCCACTGTTCATTTCTCTTGTCTATTTAAATTGGAAGCTCTTTAGGGCAGAGATTTGTTCTTACTGTGTTTGTGCAGTGCCTCCCGCAGTAGGGCCACAATCTAGGGGCTACTATAGTATAAGGGAAAGAGGTGGCGTTTCTCTCTGAAGTTACATCCGAGATAACTGTTGATGGTCAAACTTCAGAGTAGCCACCAGGATCCTCACCCAGCCTAGCTACAGTGCATTGCAGGCCATGGTGCTGTATGAAGACCTTATTTTCTTCAGGGTAAACCAGGAATTGATTATACCTTGGTTTTTTTCATGATATTTACAGATCTCAGTGCGGTTCCCTTTTTACCTTGTGGAAACCTCAGTTACCCTATCACTTCTGTCTCCTCATTTCCTCCTTCCTTTGTTTCTTTAGTAGATTTAAAGGGAGTTGCACATGACCAACTTGCAGCAGATGACATGGATGGAGTGATCACGAAGCAGAACAAACAGGTTTGCTCTTCAGCCTTGGCTTCCTATCCTGATTCAGATTCTTCATACGTTTCGTTTCCTCTTGACAGTCAGTCTTGACACTGGACTGAACACTTTCTATTCTTGCTGCTTTCAGTTGCTAGGGCAGGACCCACAGTCCATTGGATGGTAAATGCTAGCAAAATTACAGAGCTCAGAATATGTATTGCTGCTATTGTGCTCTAGAGACACCTGAAATGAATACAGACACTGTCAGTAAATTTAAAAAAAGTGGATGCTATTAATTAAGCTTTGTATCATCAGCAGATTTATATACAAAAATAGAGTTACTGTATGTCCTATGCATTACCCAACAGTATGGTTTTAAACTTTATGAACTTGGCTTTAAGAAAATCTTTTTTTTTTTTCAAAACAAAAATACTTCATATGGGGAATGAAGGGTTTTGTTGTTTCCCTAAATGTTGTGCACAAGCTTGGATGTTTTTGAATCATTTATTTGATTTCATTCAATATGTTATTGCTAACAAATTGTTACAATGAATATAAAGCAATAGGCATGACAATGTGTGTCTAATAACAATGAGAATGACTGTCAGGTTTTGTATGGAGGCTGGCTGTTGCATCTGTTTCGCTTCACATAAAAAGTGTATCAATAAGGTAAACATGTTAGTAAATGTACAGATGCTGCATTTTGATCAAATTTGATAAAGGAACTGTCATTTAATACCATCATTTAATACAATGCAACACTGCAGACATTTAATACCATTATTATTTTGCCTTCAAATAGCTTTTAACCAGTTACATATGGACCCAGGTTGATCTAAACCAGTTCTGGATTTTTCTCCAGCAAATATTTTTCCTTTGCTTTTTTTTTATAGCTTTTGGATGGTTTTATCGATATGAAGGGAAATTTCCCACAATTCGCAAGGTACAAAGTGTGTAGAGATATAAGTGAAAATTTGCTGTGGGTTTTGCATTTGAAATTACTTCTTTCTCTCCTCTGTATTTTTTTTAAATAAATTGTACAACAATGTACATTTATTTCTAAGTGTGGCAATATGTGACCGACTATCTTACTTCATACGGATTCAGTATATTCAAATGCTTTCTCATTTAACATGTGCATGTACAAGTAAGTTTCTTTGGAGTGCAGCTAGAGGGGCTGATCTTTGAAGTACTGAGTGCTCTCAGCTCCCACTGATTGCAATGGGAATTGATAGCTAGCCATACCTTTCAGGAGGTGCTCAACACATTGGAAGACTGGACCAATGGGATGCTCCCCTTTGCAAATCTTATGCTCCCCATAAGCCTTTGAAATAGTGCTTAAAATGGAGATTTTCAGAGGAAAAAATAAATGGGAATTGAGTGCCTAGTTCCCATTTGTGCCTTTGGAAATTTACCAGTAAGTGGGAGCTTACGTGGTGAATAGACCTTTAAACAGAAATGAATTTGACTCATAATGGAAGAAAACAATCAATACATACTTTTAAAATTTGGTAAACAGGGTAGTATATTTTAAGTATCATCTCTAAAGCATGCAGTAGTGTTTCAAATAATATTCTGTTCCTCTTGGTACATTCTTCTTCTTTTCTTTTTCAGTATCTTTTGACACTGTTATGAACATTATATTACTGATGTCTACCAGGTTGATGATCAAAACCAATTAGGGACTTAATGGTGGAGCCATCATAGAGCCAGAGCCAGATCCTGCATTGCTTCTACATCAATTCATTTATAGTTTTGGGTGTGCAAGGAAATCCAGATCATAGCCTGGACTTGTCAGCTATATCTACCACAGTCACCATTTAAAAGGTCATCTTTTACTACAAGCCACAATTATTTCTGTTTGCATAGGATAGGAAACGTCTGCAACATCTCAGATACCACTTGTTGCTGTTGGTTAACGTTAACATGTCAGTGCTGACCACCATGTGGACTCAGAACTGTATCTCATACTCTAGCCAACATCAATACAGTTGGTTATATGGCAGAAAAACATAAGGTGTGCTGTAAAAGTGCAAATTGATTTTACTGCCCAAGTTATTCTGTATAATTATATGCTTTGCACCTCTATATGGTTAGAAGTTCTCAAAGCATTTGGAAAATATTAAAGGGCTAATCTACCTACTATTCAAATCTACGCACACGATAGACTAAAAACTTGAAAAAATGTATTTTTAATCTAAACTATTTTTATTTTGTGTCTTTAAAATGTTTCAGCCCACACAAAAACAACAAACCAATTTTTGTAAAAGAAATTCACTTCCTATTAAAGATATTTTTAGTACAGAGCAAATTGCAAACAGTGAATTATGAATCCATTAAAAATGATCTATGGAAGGGATGGCTCAGGCTCTGTAGAGTTTGACTTGAGCTATGGTAGTGCGTTCAGCTAAGATTAATGGGAACACATTGCTATTCTACAGCACCAGTATCATACAGAGAGCTCAGTGTGAGTCTTCATCTACCGTTATAAAATGTTACCATCTATCACATGAACCATACTATATTTACCATTCTTTGTAAAGAATGAAGTAATGTCCCAGTGAATGGTGTGAACAGTAACTAGCTCTAAACAAAACATGAAAACATTTGTAATACAAACTAAACATCATGGCTAAAACACGGGCATTAGAAATTAGGTGTTTGCTGCTACTAAATCATTTTCACAACATAGTCATTTTACCTGTTAAGGTTCATCTTTGCGACAATAGCCAAATTAATTGTGAAGCAAATACAATACAACCTCACTGATCGCAGCAATGCCAAGATCTAATCACTCACCCATCAGGGCAGGTCTTTTTTACCAGCAAGAAGAATGCCTGTCTATTTTTTTTAATCCTCCAAATGGTTATTGCCTAGATTAGGGGTGTGAGCTGCTACATTTCACTCCAGTATCGCAGGGCTGATAAATTAATCCCGTTATGCAGAGAATGATTGTAGCATGATTGTCACTGTGCCCTGGGTTCCCCAAACCACAGTTAAGAGCTATTGGCTGAAAAGAGGAACAGCTCATGCTTCCTCACTGTGCTGTGTCTTCTCTAACAACCAAGCCTGGAGAACAGCCTCTCACTGCACTGGCAGTCTTTAAGAAACCAGCCAGCTCCTCTTCACTGTGCAGCTTTGGGCATGGGGAAACTGGAGTATGCAGGCTATCCTCTTGCACTACTACCTGGCCGCAGGGAACCCAGCGGATGGTCACTGTAATCAGGGGAGCAGGTTTTCTTTCCCTGACAACTAGAGCACAGACTTCAAAGTCTCTATCCAGAAGTTTCAGGGGCCTTTAGTTGCACTGTTTTAAAGCCAAGAATAAATTATCATACATGTAACTCGTATGATTGCTTTGTGCAGTGTTAGCTCATCTTTAAGTGGCCAGTGCATGTGAGAACATTTAATCCTGTAGCTCCCATTTGCCATCCCTAAAATTCAGACACACTGCCTCCTTAGTACACTGCACTGATCTAAGCCTTTTCTTTGCAATTGTTTGCTCTGTCTTTCCTAATGCATGTTATGCAGTGCTTTGGATGTGTGATGCAATAAAGGCTTTTTACAGGCTAAAAGGGAAGGGTTCACTCCTACATGTAAATACATGAGCACTTGTGTGAAAGCCATCATGAAATTAATGACAAACAGAAGGGTGAGAAATGACGACTTTATGGTAGACTATTTATGAATATCATAACTCTCACTTACAACCCCAGCATACCCACATGCTGAAATTTTATAGAAGAGGAAAGAAGTATTTAACAGTACCAACATCGTGTGATGCATAGGCCTTCTGTTTGCCTTCTGAATAAGAATGAATTTCACCCAATATGATGGGGACTGGTTTTTAGAATTGTTTTAAAAACAACCACCACACTTATGCATACATACAGAAAGTGACTAATTTTCCAAGACAGGTTTTCCTGTATGTAAAGGCTCAATTGAGCTCAAAGTTTTGCAGTGTTCTAAGCCATTGTAAAGTATACACACTACTATTTTGTGTAATAAAAAAAAACCTCCCAGAAAGGGAAAGAGAGAAAGAAGTTGAAGAGTGACAGTCTGTGTGAACAGAAAAAGTGTAAAAAGGAACTGGAGTTTGAGCAAAAACTTGCCAAAGAAAAAGAAGGGATGTTGGAAAAAGAAAAACAGCTGAAAATCAACCGGCTTGTACAAGAGGTATGTTGTGATACGTGTTAGACTATATTTCTTTATAATTTTATTATTTCCTTCTATTTTATCCTGCTTTCCTTCTGCAGGCAAAACTCTTTGACTCTCATGGGTGTCTAGGACCCAATTCAGCAAGGTATTTGAGCATGTGTCTAACTCAAAACGTGTGTAGTCTCATTGACTTAAAAGGTACCTTATGGTACTTAAGGTACCTTGCTGAGGTGGGCCGTTGCCTTGTCTGCAGATGTGGGTTATTTAAAATAACAAATTACGGGTCTTGTTCAGTATACCTGGCAACAAGTGAAGAATACTAAGCTTATGTTGAGATCAGTGCCCACCTTTTTCCTTTTCTTAGCTTGCTTTTTTGGTAATAAAAATATGAGTATCTGTAAAAATGAAAAGCAGGAATTCAGTGCAAGACAAACAGAAAAAAAAGAACTACTAAAAATCAGAAACAATATGACCTTAGCAAATGAAGAAAATGTTTATATTGAGGTAACAAAGCATAGTACTATGTTGGATGTAAAATTAAAGGGAGGACAGTTCTTTTCAAACAAGGCATGCACTTAAAAATAGAGAGGAGAAATTATAGCAAACTGCAATAAAAGGAAATGGGAGGAAAGTAGAATATGGTGTGGGATTTGGGGGATTTTGTAGAAAGTTTATTAAATCTTTGCATGTCAAAAAGACAGTGGCCCAAATTATCTGCTAGTATAACGCTATTGGTTTCCGTGGAGAGTTTGTTCCAATGTGTCAGATACTTAAAAAACACAGGATAACAAAATACACTATTCTGTTGCTAACGGATGAGAAACCGTATCCTGAGCTTTCTTATTCACAAGAGCACTTCTTCCTCAGATGGGTAG